GTGGTCACCCTCTTTTCTCAGGCTCCAGAGTCTTGGGATTACAGGTGTGTGTCACCACACCTGCCTCATGTGATATTTTCATATACACATACATTGTACAACGTTTAAAACAGTGTAAACATATCTATCCACTTCAGTTATTCATGTTACAGTGAAAATATTCAAAATCATTTCCTTTAGCTTTTTAAAAACCATATGTATCTACTCAATACAATGTCATTGTCATGATACAATAGAGTGACTAGATAATGTCACTGTACTGTACAGTAGAACACACAATTTCCTTCTCTTATTTAACCGTGTTAACACCTGTTGGTTAACTACTCCTCATTCCTTTTACTCCCCTACTTGTCCCACCCTCTGTTACCTATCATTCTATTCTTAATGTCTGTGAGATTGGTGTTTTCTATATTTTGCATATGAATGAGATGATACAAAACTTATCTTTCTGCTCCTGACTTACTTCACTCACTACAATAATCTATTTTGAGCTATGTTGTGGAAAATAAAAGGATTAGATCCCCTTTTGTAACAGGATAGCATTTCATTATATGCATGTCACATTTTCTTTATTTTTTTTATTTTAAAGAGAACAAAGCCAAACAAAATAAAACAGAATAAAGCAAATCAAAACAAAGCAGTGACAGTGATACAGGACTTCAAAACAAGGTAATAGAAAACCAACAATGGCTACCATAGTGCCTCTGGTGTCTTTAAAACAGCTGCCCATACCAGCAGACATAATAAAATCAAACAAAACAGAATAGAATAAAACTAATCAAAATAAAATAATGAAAGCAATACAGGACTTCAAAACAAGATAAAACATCCTTTCTAGCATTTTTTATTTCTCTCTCTTTGATATCCGCACCCTAACGGAATGAGGCAATAGCTCCCAGTGTTTTTTATCTTCATGTCCCTGATATTTTGATCATGTTTGCACATACTGGTTGACTATTTCCATGTCATATTTGGAGAAATGTCGGTGGAAATGTGATTGCACATTTTTTTTAATTTGGAAGTTTATTTTTTTGTTGTTGAGCTGCCGGGGTTCTTTATAGATTCTTGCCAGCTTATCAGCTATATAATTTGAAGATGTCTTCTTCCATTCCATAGGTTAATTTTTCACTCTGTTGACTGTATCCTTTGATGTACAGAAATTTTTAAGTTTTATGTAGTGCTGGTTGTTTTTGTTTGTTTGTTTTGCTTTGTTGTCTATGCTTCAGGTGTTATGTCCAAGAAATCATTATAAAATATGATTCCATAAAGATCTTTTTCTATGTTTTCTTCTGTATGATTTATAGTTTTAGGTCTTGCATTCAGATAGTTGATTTGTTTTGAATTAAATTTTGTATGTGATAAGAGTCCCACTTCAATTATTTTTGCATGTGGATATTCAGGTTTCCAAACATTAATTGAAAACACTGCCCTTTCTCCGTTTGAGTACTTTTTGTACTCTTTAAAGACCATACGCATACGAGTTCACTTCTGGACTGTCTATTCTATCTCGTTGGTCCATACGTTTTTCTTTATGCCAATAACAGATAATTCTGATTACTGAATTTTGTGGTATGTTTTGAAATAAGAATGTGTGAGAACTTCATATTCTTCTCTTACAAGTTTTTCTTAAATTTTGAGTTCCTTTATATAACACATGAATTTTAAGAGTAGATTTTTGAATCTGCAAAAAAAATTCCATTGAAATTTTGATAGGATTGCTTTGAATTTGTACATCACTTTGAGTGGTATTGACAGTTTAATGTTAAGTTTTTCCATGCATTTCTATTACTTTATGCCTTCATTAGTTTCTTTCAGAAATTATTTATAATTTTTGTTGTTCAAATGTTTTGCCTCTTAAATTTATCTCCAACTGTTTGATTCTTTTTGATGCTATTTTAAAAGCAATTGCTTTATTAATTTCCTCTCCAAGTTTTTCAGTGCTCACATCAGAAATCCAATTGATTGTGTGTATTGGTTTTGGTTTAATTTATTCCTTTTCTAATTTCTCATGGTATAAAAGAGATCATTGATTTGATATCTTTCTTTTCTAATGTAATCATTTACACTATAAATTTCCCTTAAGATAGTGTCTCTGTACCCCATAAATTTAATATTGAAAAAAATTTGATCTTATAGAAAAATTGTAAAATAATAAAGTTGCAATGTGTTCTTCACTCAATTTTGTCTAGTTATAATGTCCTTTTTATGCATATTTTGTATGTTTTGCTATGTCTGCTCCATATATTTTCTTCCATGTGAGATCCAGATTTAAGGGCAACTTCCTTCAGGTCATGTGATCCTTGCAGCCATGAAATTTCTACTAATGTCTGCACAAATATGGATCATGAAGTTTTGCTCATGTCCAATTAGCTAAAGCTGGAATATGGATGGCACATAAAGAATGTCTTCACTTGGCCAAATGACCAAAATTTCTTATCCTGCGTTCACAAAAGACCTCCAAGACCTCATCTCTCCACTGTTTCTGAAATGCTAATCTCCTTGCTTTAGGTCCAGGGTAGTAATTCCTGGTAGCTAATACCACTTCAGTGTCTTAATTTCAAAAAAAACAATACACATTTAGGAGTAACTAGTTCCAAAGTCTGAAACTCTGCCCAATATCATTCCGCCCACTACCCCTCCTTTGTATTTAATATTTATGATAATCACTGTTACACTTACTGAATATTAATTGCACTCTGGATATTTTCATTACATTTTGCATGTATCAATTCATTTTATGCCTCTCAGAAACCCCAAAATTAAGATACTTTTATCATCTCTATTTTCAGGTATGTGAAATCTGAATGATAGCATAAATAGTTTATGCATGGCTATACAGGCAAACTTAGCAATCATTCTGCTAGACGTGTCACTCACTGCCCTTCCTGGAACTGAGCAGCAATAGTCTTTGTCTGCTTCCTGTTGTTCCTGTGGACTTTCTAGTCATTGTACAAATAAACATAGAACAATGTGTCCCACTGTGGCTTTAGGCCATCAAATTCATAACTGGCAAATGCAAGGTATGGAAGGGATCACTCCCTAAGTCTGCGCTCAGGGGAGACACTGAATGTCATTCATGGTACTCTAAGCCCAAGCTCAAAGCAGGCACCTGAAACACTCTTTAAGAAGTTTCTCTGGGTCATGCTGTAAAAAGTAAGGAAATTCAACAATTCTAACATCATGGATGAACCTGGAAAACATTATGCTAAGTGAAAGAAACCAATCACACAAGGGCAGCTACATATGTTTCTATTTATATGATTTGCTTACAGTGGTCCAGCCCATAGAAAGAGACTAGAGCAGTGGTTCTCCCAGGCTAGAGAGAAAGGGAATGGAAAGATATTGTAGTTCAATTGGAAATGTGAAGAACTAACAGAAAGTGTCAGTAACATATGAGGTAAGAATAAACTTGGTGTAAAATTAAGGCCAGCATAAAAGTGCTTCTGAGTCAGCATTCAAAGTCAGAAGTTGGCCCAGTCTCTTGAACTGAAAAGTTTTCCTCTCTTTGCATGAGAGAGTTTTCTTCCCTCATGCCCATCATGTGTGGCCCAGTTACAAGTGTGAAGGTGACACACATGGTCTCCTAACAAGCCCCCATTCACTAATACCATCAGCAATTAGTTGATGATCTTCTAATGAGTGCTTAAGGGGAGTCACTATGAAATGGAGAACCAGATTAGTGGTCTTCAAAGTTTATTCTGTATACGCCTGAGATACACATGTGCAGAAGGGGCCATACAATCTCTCATTTCTGTTTCAAGTTGGGGGTACTCTGATTTTGTTTGTAAATTTGTCTTCCATGAATTTTCACCTGGAGAAATATGGTCACAATCATATCTTTTGAAAATCATACCATCCCAAGGTCTTTCTGTGCCATGATAACCTATTCTGATAACCTATCAGATATTTGTTTTATTTATTTATTTATTTATTTATTTATTTATTGTGTCATCATCAACATCGCCGTTTTAGTGCTGGGATTGAACACAGGCTTCATATGGTCTACCACTGAGCGATACTCCCAGTCCAGTGATTTTAAAACATTCCTTTGAGTTATTTTATGCTCTCTCATTAAATGGGCTGGTCTGTTTCCCAGCCTTTTACCTGGGAGACTTACGCCATTACATGGAATACCTAGCCTTGTGGAGAGATCACTGGAGAAAGATGTAGGGAAAAGCAGGAACCCAAAGGAGCTGGATCCAGTCCAATTCCCAGTTGTTCAAGTGCTCCCATCTCAGATACCAGACACTGAATGAAGGCTTTGTGGAAACCCAACCTTAGCCACCACCTAACTGCCAAGACATGAAAGACCCTAAGTAAGTGCTCCCCACCCAAGGCCAAGTCAATTTTCATATTCAAGAGCAAAATCACTGATAGCTCTCATTTTAAGGCTGTTTCCAGTTGGATTGTTAATAGATTATCAGAAAAGACACTACAATTTTAGATACTATTATTCAAAGAATATCACATTCTACATTCTGCTAATGTTCTATTTTGTATTTTTCCCTGAGTTTCAGTAAACTGCCAGGATTTAAAATGGTAAAACATCTTTGAGTTTGTTTTGGAATCCAGCCAAAGTTTTACTGCCTGTTTCTGAACAGAAGTCCTGGGAATGCTGCCACCATGCAGAAATGGGGAAACCCCTTGTATCCCCTTGATTTCAGTATTTCTGTTTCTTTTTTCTTTCAATGGAATGAGTTTCATTTCACAGCATCTGAGCTCGTGTAACAGCCACAAATCACATGCCCCAGTTTGCCTGGGAATGCCCTAAATTCACCTACTGCATCTGGTATTAGATGAAAAATAAGCCATCCTCAAAACTGATGTATTTTCCTGACTCATATCTTAGTATAGTACCATAGGGCAGGGTGCTGGCCCAACAGATATATTACAGCATCCTGTGATTCATTCTCCATGACAAAACCTTCTCACTGTACTTCCATTCTCTGCTCCTCAGTCTACTTCCTATAAAAGGCAGAGGCAGAGCTACCAGGAGAGCAGAGGAGCTGAGACCAGCTCGGAAAGCTGCAACACTTACACTGAAGTTGGTGCTACCACCTTCCACCATGCAAGTCATTGCAGTCCTTCTGTGCCTACTGCTCACAGCAGCCAACTTCAGCTCCCTTCTGCTGGCTCAGCCAGGTAAGGTCCTGCCTCCTGCATATCACCCACCTCTGGCTATCACAGAGCATCACAACTACAAAGGTGCCCTTGCAGCTGCTTATCCAACCTGAGGCATTTCAAAAAAGGGCAAAGAAGCAGGAGAATCACAGTTGCTCCTGTGTACAGTTTGTATTAGAATTCCAGCTTTAGATCTAGAATCCAGCTCTATGCTGGGCTCCAGCTCTGGAAATGCAACTCGTGCAGTTGCTGCTCCATTGGCTTTCAGTAGTGTGCTTGATGGGCCTCAGTTTGCAGGGTATTTCCAGATACAGAGAGGAAGAAAGAGAATCTAAATCCGACCTGTGCTTCATTTAACCCAGCTTCCTGAACCAATGATTCTGCCGAGGTGGTGGGTATTAGGGACTCTCACAACTAGGTATGGATTTCTGGAGTCCTGATAAAGGATCTGTAGCAAGAGTCTACTGATCCCAGAAAATTAGATTATTATATTAGTTCTTCTTATCAACACAGAGAGTTGTCATCAATTTCTCTTGCCATTATCATTTGGGGATGATGCTGTCTCATTTCATAGACCATGAAAGTAAAAGTTTAAAAAACACTTTAAAGTGAAGAGACATTGAACTTAAGGTAGATAGACAGCTTCTCTCCCCCCCCCCTGCTTTTACTATCTTTCTGATTCCTTCTTATCATAAATGGAGAGATCCAGAAACCAATATACAGAACATTTTCTTGTTTCATTCCAGATGGTGTTAATATCTCCACCTGCTGCTATAAACGGAGCCAGAGGATTCGGGTGCAGAGACTAGAGAGCTACACAAGGATCACCAGCAGCAAATGCCCCTGGCAAGCTGTGATGTGAGTGGACCCTGCCCATCCACCTTCAACCTTCAGTCCTGAGTTCTCCCCTGGAACAATGTAGTGCTTACTCTCAAGCTGAGTTAGATCCAAATACTCAGACCATCTGTAATTCAAGCCCAGAAGTTTTCCAGTTCAGAACTGGTAACTGGATAGGAAGCTGGGAGTGAAAATTAATTTTCTTGTGTAGGCTTCAGTTTCCCCATTGGAACCAAGAGGGCTTCACCTGGGTCAGTGATAGGAGTTTTCTTTCCTTGTGTCTCTTCTTTTGCTTTGCTTTCTTTCTCCTGTATCTCTGGGCAGTGTCATTACCCTGGGCTAAAGGTCATGCAGGTTACCTATGTAGCAGACTTCATTTCCACAATGAGTTCTCTAGGCTCTCCATCTAACTGGAATTTTTCTCTCCCACAGCTTCAAGACCAAATTTAACAGAGAAATCTGTGCTGACCCCAAACAGCAGTGGGTACAGGATTCCATGAAGTACATAGATAAGAAATCCAAAACTCCAAAGTCTTGAATACTCACACAGGAACTGAAGCCATGTCCAGACTTGAGATGCAAACAATCTTATGCTCCCTGTCATTTGTGAGACTTGATCAATATACTATAATCCCAAGGAAAATGAGCTATGTGTAATATGAAGTATAGTTTTTCTTCAGTTCTGATTTTTAAAGTTACCAATATGTTAATTCAGTTTGTTGTGAATTTGGCATGGTATGAATATAAAACTCTGGATTCACCAAGTCTCATTAGTCCTAAAAACTTGAGATGCTTCTCTTTGTCTACCTTGATACAAGATTATGAAGGATTTTATAAAAATCAGTGCAAAGTCTGTTCAAGAAATGTTTTAGGAAGAAAACATAATGTTATTATACAATAGAATATTTCATATGTGTATGACATCTGTATTTTCAATAAAATATATTTTTGCATTATCCTGACTTTGGTGGTATTTAGAGGGATGAAATAAAGCTGGAGGGCTGACAGGTGGCAAGGAGGAGGGCATGGCTACGGAGAGTGGTGATTGCCTTGTGAAAGGACAAGTATATGACAAACACTGGGCTTTCCCCAGGTTGGCTTTCTTGCACATCTAGAGAAGGCAGGCAGGATGGGGCCAGGCAGTACAGTCCCAGAGCTCAAAATCTGACTTCTGATATTGTCTTTACTCATTTGTTTAGATGTTTCTTTCATCCCAAAGTTGCTGCCTTCCTCCCCATCACAGAACTGTCTCCTATCCTCTATAGAATCAGCTTTCTGGATGGCTAGTTTCCCCCATTTACTTCAGCCACCCACTTAAGAATATTGGGATCATCAGTTGAACTGAGAAATCAGATAGAGGTCCAATAGATGACCTCAGAAACTCCTTCCCACATGTGGAAACCATATGATGTCTTTGTAAAAGTTTCCATCTCTGCAGGTTAGAGAAAAGTAGTAAGGGTAAGGATCCTATATACTCCATAAAATATATTAACAAGCCCTTCATATCTTCAAGTAGAACTTCTTGGAAACAAGATTTCCATCTAAGCCCCAGGAAAGAATCAGGATATATCAAACACCTCAACAGAAGCAGAAAATTTATGGATGACCACTTAAATTTATCAAAGTACACAATCTAGATCCAAGAGTTCTTTCTACTTCTCCTTAACCTATCACTAGGCAGTAGAATCTCAAATTCTAGAAAAGGATAACCAGGAAGCACACTTTGGAGTAAGAGGAGAAATAAATGAACATGTACCTAAATAGGACACAGCAATCCCTAAAACGTGAGCAAATACTAAGCAATGTCATATAGCACTACAGAAAAGAGAGAAGGGCTACATATTCCTATGTTTAAAATAATCTGCTCGAGCTAATTTTGTAAAACCTTGGCTCTTCATCTCCAAGGAATTCTAAACTCATTTGTTATCATGTGTGATTTTATACTGAAAGTGATGCCTTCTACATGGCAGCTAGGTTTGGAGAAGAATTTCACTGTAGCATCTGCCATACTTGGGAAGCCATTTTGGGGAGAGGTTTAGTATTTAAAATTGGGCTACTTTGGGAATCAAAATTCATAGAACAACTACACTTCAGGATCTTTGGAGTCACCTTCTGACTGGTTGGGAGACAGCCACAAGAGACAGTCATGGAGACGGGACAGGCTACTGCAGACTCCTTGACAAGCTTAAGCAGTGATGAGCTCAGGTTGTGAAGCACACAGTCACTCTATTCTTTATGGAGAGAAAACAGCCCAGTCACATGCAGACTTCTGAGAGGCTGGGTCCTAACATGTTGAAATTAAGTCCCAAAGACTGATTGGTGCTCTCACTGCCTACTTAAAATACAGAGCTCAGCAATCTGGATTTTCCCCTCTATCATCATGATGAGGGAGATGGCTTGGTATGGCCAGTTGCCACAGCCCAAGGTGTAGGGACAGAAAACCTTCTGGAGTAAAAGAAGAACCTCATAGTCTCATAAAGCTAGAAAGACAGCAGTGACTTGGGGTACACAGAAAAGCACAAACACCGTCATGGTTACTTTTCTCTTGCTGTTGAGACAAAATACCTGATACTCAAAATGAAGAAAGGAAAGGTTTATTTAGCTTACAGTTTTTGGAGGTTTCAGTCCATATTCAGCTGGCTGCAAGGCAGAGTGACATAGATGTGGGGAAGATGTTCATGGCAGCCACAAGCAACAAAAGCAAGCAGGGTAAAAAGAGAAAAGCATGTCTCCTTCCCTCCTTTATAGAGTATGCTGGCTCCACCCCAGAAGGGGGGCAGTACTCACACTGCCAATCCCAGCACTAGACAATGAGCTAATCACAGATACTAGACTCAGCCACTTCCATGACTGCCCCAGGTTTGGAGGGCCACCTAGACACAAACAGTAACAAACACAGAAAGCCACGGAGTTAATAGAGCTCTAAGGAAGCTATCATACTATTTATTGACCTCACCCAGCTAGAAAAGTGTGACATGATTCAGCCTTCACACACCAAAAAAGAGGCCTTTAGGACAAAACAGGTCCTAGTTTTAACTCAGTATTCCCCACACTTACCTAGTGGATTTTAATACCACAGGCCCTAGAAAGAAACCACTCACCCAACCATACAGAGGAATTATTTTGCAGTCATTTGTTTTTGTGAGTTTTTCCCTTACTTTTTACTTTGTTTTTATTCTTTTCTCTTATTTTTCTTGTTTGTCTTTGTCTGTTACTTTTACCTAATTCTATTAATTTTCTTTTATTGTTAATCAGATATTTATCTCACTTTTACCTACTTATAGTCATCATTCCTTTCTTTTTAAAAATTTTACCTCTTTCATTTCCTCCTTTCCTTTACTAATTTTCAGTTACTTGATTGACTATTATTGCTGATATCTTTTCTATTCATAATAGTGATAAAGTTGTAAATACTTAACATATGTCAATATTTGGGTTGTCTTTATGCCTGTATTATTATTGCAGGTATCTTTTCTATTGTTAAGGATGGCATAGTTGTATGATTAGCTGTTAATGAAATATCAATAGTCATTTTGACTTTGATGCCATTATTGTTGCTGATTTCTTCTCTATTGTTAATGACAGATTAGTTGTTACTTTTAATTGGTTTTACTCTATGTCAATATCTCATTAGTCTTTGTGTCCATAATATTATTTGCTCTTCTCTGAGTGGTGCTGAGGATCAAGCCCCTGGAAGAAAGTTGGGCGCTTAGAAGATCCTCAAATTTACTAAATAGGTGAAAGAGAGATAAAAACAACAAAACATAACCAAATCCAAGGACACATCACAGGGAGACAGGATCCAATTAAAATGAGCTCCACGGTAGTGACAGAATTTCTCTACCCTATCTGATCTCTGACCCACAGTTCAAAAACACAGAAACATCAGAAAGTAAGGCAAAATGTGCATCCTCTAACTCCTAACAACTGAAAAGCTGATCTCACAAACACTAAAAGTAGAGAAAACAATAGTCAAAAACTAAGAAAGCAAATATTTAAAGTGTTTAAAGAGACAAAGAAAGAAACATTCAAGCAAATGCATAAGATAAACTCAAAGAGGATTTAATTAACTATGTAAAGGATTTTAGTAATAAAATCTCCTTACAGGAGAAACAAACATTAAACTCATGGAGTTCAGCAAGACCACATAGACATGAAGTACCACTTGAGGAAAGAATTAGAAATTATGAAAAGAAAGCAAACAGAGGTAGATGGAAACTTCAATGGATAGCAGGGCAGCAGACTTGAACAATGTGAGAAAAAAGTGTCAAAAATAGAAGACAAGGAGGATCATACACTCAGGGATGCCATACAATGACAAGACATCATGAAACTTGGACCTAAAAGTAGCAATATGACTAAAATCTAAAAATAATAGAAACGAATGAAATTAGAAGATGATTAATGAGGTATAAAAAATGTATTCACTGATTTTTTTAGTTACTTTTCTCTTGTTGATGAGAAAAAATACCTAAAGTTAAAGGGGAGAACATTTGTTTAGCTGACAATTTATAGAGGTTTTGGTCCATGATTGGCCGGCTCTAAAGCAGGGTGGCATGTGGCAGAGGATCAGTAGTTCATGGTGACTGGAAAAGGCAAAAGCAAAAAGAAAGGAGATAAGACTCTTTCTATCCCTTATATGCTATGCGGGCTGCCTACTCTAGGGCAAATGTAGCACTGAGCAAACCTATGCCAAACCAGTCAGTGGACTGACTAACTAACCACACATCTTTAATCATAGCTTCAGATACTCTAGATTTAGCCATCTCTGGAAAAGCTCTATAATCATCTGAGGCTTTCTTGAGGGGACATCTAGACACAAACCATAATGCATCATAACAGAAAAATTTCCAAATCTAGAAAAATAATCCAATATTCAAGTAAAGGAGTCATGTAGAATCTTAAAGAGCCATGACCAGAAAAGAAACTCTCCATAATACCTCATCATCAAAATTTCAGAAATTCAACAAAAGGAAAAGATTATTAAACAGTGTTTCAGAAAAACGTATAAAGACAAGCGTCAAAATAACTTCAGACTTCTCAGTATAAACTATCAAGACCTGGAGATTACAAGTGCTAAAAGAAAATCATTGTTAACACAGACTTTTATATCCTGCAAAATTAGTCTTCAAAAATAATGGAGACATAAAGATTTTTCATGGAAGAAATTTTAAAGAAATATATGACCACTAAGCCAGTAATACAGAAAAATTTAAGGAAATCATAGACAGAGATGGGGAAGCCACCAGCACTGAAGGAAAGGAAAGTATACATTTAGCTGGAAGAGTAAACAAAAAGCACAAATAAAGGCATCTACACTGGAAAAAATAATGCAAAGGCAGGATTTAACAAATGTCTAACAATAATAACTCCTACCTTTTATACTCCTAACTTCCAATCAAAAGACATAGACTGGCTGATGAGATCAAATAGCAGAATACAATCACATATTGCTCCCAGAATACATGATTCTTGCAAGAGAATCTATGTAGACTAAAAGAGAAAGGAGGAAAATGACACTCCATTCGACCAGAAACTGAAAATAAGCAGGAGTAATTATTTTAAGAATCAGCAGACTTCAAGCCATAACTGATCAGAAGAGATAATGATGGCTCCTACACACCTATAAACTGAAAATTCAGCACAAACAGGTAACAATTGCAAATATCTATGCACCAAATGTTGGCCCATTAAAAACTACTGAATTTAAAGACAGACACAAATACATACCTAGCAGCAGACTTTGATATCCAACTTTTAAAGTTAGACAGATGTCAGACAAAAAAAATCAAAAAAGAGACATCAGTGTTAAACCACACCATTCAAAACATGCCCTTAGCAGAGAATTTTGTCCAACAAAAGAATACATATTTCGAGCTGGGGATTTAGCTCAGCAGCTTAAGTACCTGCCTTGCAAGCAGGCGGTCGTGAGTTCAATCCCCGGTACCGATAAAA